CCCAACAGGATGCCAATAGATACTTTAAACAGCTCATCAATGGTGTAGTAAGTGACTGTACTAATTTAATACATGTATAAATGGTAAGTTAAAATCTAGTTAATTGAATATTTGCTCCATTTTCAGATGTCAATAGAATTATTTTTGTTTCCTTTTTAGGAATATTTACACGTCAAAGGTGTTACTCACAGAGATCTCAAACCAGAAAATCTCCTTCTGGATGACTTTGGTAAGGATTGGTTTGATTTCCTTGACCTTTTATACTGTATCTAGAAATTTCATCGGATGAATCCAAATGGTTCTTGGCATGGAAGTATTAAACCAGTTTAATAACTGATCGAGATATTGACTATTTGAAGATTGGACATGTCTTTAAATTCTCTGTATGCTTTGGGTTCTGCAATGATTCATAATTAAATCTTTTGTAATATTTCTGTCAGACTGTGTGCCTTCCCCAAATTTTACACATTTCTTGATATGCATAATAGAATACCTATCATTTAAGCAAGAAACTTTACATTTATAGATAATTTAAAGATCTCAGACTTTGGATTAGCCACGGTATTCAGATACCAAGGAAATACTCGTCAGCTGGAAAAGTGTTGTGGCACAGTCCCCTACGTGGCCCCAGAGGTGTTGTCAAGGAAACCATATGATGCTGAGCCAGCTGACATTTGGTCATGTGCTGTAATCCTAGTGGCTCTGCTGGCAGGAGGTGAGGAAAGTTTGTTAAAATATATTGCAAGCTGATATCAGAATTCAGGGTTGTACCTAGGACTCTAGGTACAGGGAATTTCTCATTCTATTGTGACATAATCTCCTGGTTATTCCCCCTCAAATCTCTGTTACAGGAGGGGCAGACCCCCTTTTACCAGTTTAAATCTCCCCTGCTATTTCAATTCTTAGGAAAACCCTGTGAATTTTACAGTACATGTATAGCCTTTTTTCAATGTCTTGTATTAGTTAAAATAAGTTTGAAACAAAATATATTTAGAGTAATATTTGGAAGATCTAATATCATAAAATAAAATTTTAAAATTGAATTTTTTTAAGAATTACCTTGGGATGAGCCAACATATGGCTGTCAGGAATACTGTGATTGGAAAGACTGTAAAATTACTAAGACTCCATGGAACAAGATTGACAATCTGGCATTGTGTAAGTAGGAGATTTGGTTTCTTTGCCCCTTAGTTTTAAGATATACTTTACATATACATTAATTGATTCAAAATGTAGCACAATCACTGGGATTTGGCAAGTTGCTATAATTTTTGCATTTCAAGAATATTCAAACCTATAACATATCTTTCTTCAAGAATACCAACCATTTTGATGCCATAACATATAGTAAAAGAGAAAAGTTAGTAAAATATGCTTATAATGAAGAGCCAGGGATGGATGGTTTTGCTTCATTTTTAATGTTATCTGTAAAGATGACAATTTATTTTTATTCCACATGAGAAGCACTTCCCTGTAAGCATCAGTTTATTATAAGAGTGCTTGCTATAACTGTGTTTTACTATAGTATGATATATGCATCTCCAGTTCTTACATTATCGGTGCATTTAAAATGGCCAATATGTATATATGTATTTTAGCATTACTCAGGAGACTTCTAGTGGAGAACAGTTCCAAGAGATACACTATAAGACAGATTAGAGATCATCAATGGTTCAACAAGAATTTTAACAGAACAGCTCTAGGTATTTATAAAGAAATTAATTATACATGTACATGTAATTCAACAAAATTGTCTTTTAACATGCATGGCCATTATACATGTAAGTGTCTACAAATGTGGATATCAAGGTTGAAAAACACATTTTGAGACTCTTCCTTTTGGCATTTATCTTGATCAGTTTATTGCAAAACTATAGAAATATTTTAAATTTTTTGTTCTTATAGTCCATTGAAAGTGTAGACATTCAAGTCTATTTTTCCTCAAAAAAAAAAAATGCACATTAAAAAAAAAAGAAGGTTTTTCTCATGTTTTGTTAGTAATATTATAGACATTCTGAATTTACTCATTTTTACCTAAAAATCAATAATAGATTTTTTTTTCTCTCCTTTCATTTTAAAATCTATGATTCTCATAATACTTTATTCTCTTGAAACATTAAAAATGTAAAGTGTCCAATGTAGATTTCAGAAAAAAGGGGTAGAATACCAAACACTGTTGTCAGCAGAACTATAATTCATTGTACCTTTATTTGCTCGAGAATGGCCACAAACCTTAGTAAAATTGGCTCATCTTAAATAAAGAAAAGAAAAGATACTGTGGACATCAGGCTATAATACCTGCAAGTCCTTGTTATACTACTTATTGTAAAACCTGAGATGGATTGTTTTGTTGCAGGTCAGCTGAACAGGCTCCCGTCCTCACCCACTAGTTCCCCTTCAGGGACTGGACCGTTTAAACGTGTTTGCTCAGGGAATGAACTCTCACCTCCTTCTCACTCAAAAGACAGGTATAAATATCCAATTGTCTATAGAATTATTCAACTGAATTTGGATATGCAAAGAAAAAACAAACATGCCATGTGATTTTAATTTTTAAGTTTCATGTCGATATTTTTTAGATTTATGCACATATCATCCTCACAGCCTGAGTCCCGACAAAGGTTGGGATCTGAAGGTGACACTAATTCCCCACTGGATCCCGTAGACAGGCAGTTTTGTTTCTCACAACCTGTTCACCCAGATCACATGTTACTCAGCAGCCAAATTCAGGGAACACCAGGGTCTTCACAGGTAATGGAAACAATACTGACTGTACTAACTCAGAGATAATCAATTCCACTCCAAATGAGGCAATGGGAATAAAAACACCTCGTGTGAATAATTGTCACTGCAATTGGCTACAGTCTATTAAAGTTGAACTTTTTTCACCATTCATTCATGGACCAGGTATAAATTGTAATTATTCATGACCTTTTGCAGAATCCATGGCAGAAACTGGTTCGTAGGATGACCCGGTTTTTTGTAAAGCCAGATAGAGATGGAACCAAGAAGGAGTTGGAAAAAGTGTTTGAACTCCTGGGATACAACTGGAAGTTTAACTCCCCAGGAATGGTATGCTGCAAAATACGGAACTCTGAAGTTCCTAGTTGTAATAATTTTGATTTTGAGCAAAAATCATTGAAACCTGACTACCATCTTAATGGGAATGATATACATGTACATGTACAAGTTAAGCAGAACAGGACCTTGGAGAAATGTAGATTTTGTGAGAGAAAATAAACCCAGTTTATATATATATTTTTAAAAGAAACTTAAGCGACATAAATAAAAAAAATTCCTTATTCTTTTTTGTTTTATGGAATGTTCCTGCATTCTTGTTTCAGGTCACCATAACAACATTAGACAGAAGGCATATCCCTTTGGTGTTCAAAGCCTGCTTTCTTGAAATGGATGAAAACCTACTACTTGATTTCAGATTATCCAAGGTAGATCTGTTTTAAGATTAATGTTGTATATATACATGTACTTCAGTGTGTATTAATAGTCAATTGTTGAACTTCATACAATTTATCTTGTCTTTGTATTACATATGTATTCATAGGGCTTTCTTTGATAAATCACCATACATTAAATGTCTTTCAAATAAAATATTGTACCAGTTTTAATTATTGATTAAAGATTGACTAACACATGCAATTATTGATTTTATTTTTCAGGGGGATGGTCTGGAATTTAAAAGACACTTTATAAAGATTAAGAATCAGATGAAAGCCAGTGTAAGCAAGGTACCGCCTACATGGCCTTTGGTACCCTCCCAAGTCGCATGATCTGTGCCATATATCATTCATCATTAGTACTTACAAATAAAGCATATTATCATTTTTGAATTTTCTTTATTCTTGAAAAGAAGACCAATAGTGCTGATTTAGTGATTTATGACTAGATAAAATGCATGGCATAGTAATTCTTGAAAATAGTGCCCCCCCCCCCCCCCCCCCCCAAAAAAAAAAAACACATCCTGAAATGCATCAGTCTCTGATAAAATAATTTATATATGTTATTCTGAGTGGTGCCTTGTAAATTTATGCAAAGTCTTCAGATGGCTTGATATTAGGGGAATAAAGTACCAGGTAATGGTTTTTACCACCATGCTCATCTGATTGCATACATCAGACTGTCAGAGGTATGCTTACTGCCTGGATTAAAATTGAGAAAATACCAGCTATTGAACTTTTTTTGGCAGAATATTGCTCAGTGAACCCCATTTGTCTGGATATTTCGGATGAGTTTTCAAGATATGAACTTATACCCACTAAAACAAAGTTAAAGGGGTATATAGAAATTAGTAATACATTGTCTGTCAGTCCACCTGTCTGTCCCTACAAATTTGAACTTTATGAAGAAATAATTGTATTGATCTGGGCCGTATATATCGGCCTTGATAGCTCACTTGGTAGAGCAACTGAAAGGAGATGTAGGGTCCCGGGTTTGATTCCCGCTCCAGCCATACGATCTCCTTTCCTGTTACAGATTTAGTGCCGTTGACCACCCCTGGAATTGCAGGAGAAAGTCCTACCAGGGGCTAATAAGAACTTGGGTTGTTTTGTCTTTGAGGGGGGAGACCATTTAACGAGGGAGGAATGTAATGATATGGGCCTGGATATCTCAGGTGGTAGAGCAACTGACTGTAGATGCAGAGGTTCCGGGTTTTATTCCCAGTCCAGCCATACATTTTCCCCTTTCCCTTTACGTAACAAAAGCTCGCACAGAAATTGTTTATGACCCAACAATGTTTCAAGATCTTGATTTCAAAAGATTATTCCAGCAAGTATAAAGACACTGACTGAAAAATGTACAGTAAAATGCTTATAGCAAACATAATGAATTGATATTTTTAATAGCAAAGTGATTTTATCTGGTAACTGAGGCCTTCCAAAGTGCAAGCACAGGCATTTTTAAGATTTAATCAACACTTTGTGTGCTGTGCAAAACTTTCTTGTAAAATTATCATCTATAGGAATAAAAGTGCAAACTCTAAATAAGAAAACAAACAATATTTATTAAAACAATTCATGCTACACACTTCATCTTTAGCAGGACTTCTTACTTTGCCATGATTTTGCTTTCATGTGAAATAACTGAATATACAGAATAACCTTATTTGGACAAAAATTTCTAAGGAACTAAAGTCGAAGATTGACCATGATCTCGTAGCCGCTCAATCAATGTTTGTTTATTGTTGACTGCATGGACATTAATTATGAAGTACACAACACATTCATCTCTCTGATGTCATAATGAAATTTTTCTCTAATGTCAAATTCTCATTTCTGGTCCACATTAAAACTCTTGGGACTGTGACGATTTCTTTCCAGCTGATCCAGTTTTCTTTGGCAGAAGAACAGCCTGGATATTGGGCAGGACACCTCCCTGGGCTATGGTGACTCCTGAAAGTAGCTTGTTCAACTCTTCATCATTACGGATGGCCAGTTGAAGGTGGCGGGGAATAATTCTGGTCTTTTTGTTGTCCCTGGCTGCATTTCCCGCCAATTCGAGTACTTCTGCTGCCAGGTATTCCAACACTGCTGCCAAATACACGGGGGCCCCTGCACCAACTCTCTCTGCGTAGTTTCCTATTCATTAAAAATATACTTTTTTCAATATTTCCATCATTTAATGATCTATTTATTGATTAATACACCAAAAACATCGCTTAACAATATATTCTGTTAAACGTTACAGGTGTTCTAGTACAATTGATCATCAAATATGCATTGTCAGCATTTCACAACTGTACAAATTTGCCTTATTCGTAACAATTGATACTACAGTCATTTTTTTTTCTCTTTTTCTGTACGTCTGATGAGAATGACGTCCATGTTGTCAAGACAATAATTAAATCGTAGAAAAATGAAATACAGAATCATGTTCCCATACCTTTCCTCAGAAGTCGGTGAATTCTGCCAACTGGGAACTGGAGACCTGCCCTGGATGAGCGGCTCTTTGCCTTAGATTTTGTTTTTCCTCCTTTTCCACGGCCAGACATGATTTTATCGTCCTTTTGCTTTGACACCCACAGTTAAAATGGCGCCAAATACAACCGAGTCCGTGCTGCAAATCGAAAGTGAAAGTTAGTTACGTATCATCTCGCGAGAGGTATCATGGTGGCAAGAAGGCAACTTGCATCAGATTGAATTCGGTTAAACTGTAAAAACAACAATCATGGCGTTTTCTGACACACAGGTTCATATTCTGATAAATGCTTTTATGTCGGCAATGGGGTTCATTGTGTGTTATAGCATAATTCCGAAGTTTAAAACGATGTTTATCAATGCACACCTCTTTGGCATTGACATGAGCAAAAGGGAAAAGAAGCAAATGTAAGTGTAATCTTACTTTTCATTCACAGCTCTTATTAATTTTGAAGGTATATAATTTTTCCATCTCTTTGATACGTTTTCCAAAAGTTGTCAACATGGCCACACGTTATGAATCTAACGATTCAAGACCACTCTAATGAGCCAGAGTGCTGTGCAATGTTTTGTCTGCTGCTCTCTTGTATATAGAAAACATTTTTGGTACAGTTGTGTGCCAAAAGTGAAGATAATTTTATTTTTTCTTTATATATTTCATTGAAAACAATATTTTGTAAAATCGCTGGTATGACAACATTTCTTGACAGATTTTATCAAAAATTTCTTGATAATCCAAGAAATTGTTGTAGTTGAAAAAAACAATAGTTTTTATCTGATAAGCATTGATAATTTAAAAATATTGTAATTTAAGTGTAACATGAATTTTTAAGTGATATACTCACAATGAATTATATAGTCAACATTGATCTTGAATTTTAGAACTGATGTTTAGTAATGAACTATGTTTTACTACATATATTAGACGTGTAATGATCTTTTAAAGAAAGATAACTACACATTTTCTGGTTTAAGTACTGAAATAAATAATTAAATTGGACAAAAATTGACCATTTACCTATGATTTTAAAAAATGTTGTTTTCAATGAAATATATAGAGACAAAAATAAAATTATCTTCACTTTTGGCACGCCACTGTATATGTATGTACAACAGCTACAAGGTTAGGGTCATGTAACACAGGCACTTGTTTTGATAAGAGGTACCCTCTACTTATTTTTACCACAAGGTACCTAATCATTTTCAGACACCCCCACTTCAAGCTCATATTGCGTTAATATTTCAATCATTGGCCGTCTTTAAAAGGACATTGTTTTTTTCAAGAGACTTTTTTTTTGTCGATTAAATCGTTTCAGACATCTCTGGTTGAGTCCCTTTATTGTATACTACTCATTTGTTCAAATACATTTTAAAACTTTCATTGGGATACATATTTCCCGTTGGGGTTCAGTGGCAGATTTAAGGGGGGGGGGGCGCACACGGTGCCCCCCCCCTAAAATTATCAAAGTTAGCGTAAATCACAGTTTCGTCTAGAGAATGTAAATATGTCTACTTGGTTGACCTCTATTTACCCTACAAAATCTCTAGAATCCAGGAGCTTCCAGGGGCTTTGCCTCCTGGGCCAACACCAGGGCTTTCTTTGCCCCACAGGGGACCTCAAGGTGGTCCCCCAGACCACCTGCCTATTTTCAGTGCCCCCTCTAACTTCAATTCCTGGATCCGCGTCTGGGGTAACAATTGCATGGTAAAACCAGAGACCTCGGAATGGAATTTTCGGAAGCCTCTGGTTTTATCCTACCCCTATCTGGAAGTTGTGTCCCAATAGAAGTCTTGAAATGTATCGAGATAATTTTTGAGGAATAAATGAGTGGTTTACAATAAAGAGTTTTGACCAGAGATGTCTGAAACGATTTAATAGACAAGATAAAAGTCTCCTGAAGTGAAAACAATGTTATTTTAGAGTAGGTTAATGAATGATATATTAACAAAATACGAGATTGAAGTGGGGATGCCTGAAAATGAGTTAGGTACTTTGTGGTAAAAATAAGTAGGGGGCGCCCTGTATACAAAACATGTGACTGTGTCATGTAATATCCTCAAAATTGTCTTCAATCCTGACAGTAGCCTTTTTAAAAGTTAATTATGCATTTTTTTCACTTCATGATAATTATTTAGGTAGTATTGATGCTATTTTGTAGTCCAGAATCTCAAGGAATGATATGTGGAGCCATTTTCCTTGTCATCATGTTCTTATTCATCCCAGTACCATTTTACAAACATATTTTGACAGACAATTCGGGAAATTCATTCCCACATCATGAGGTAAGTGGAATAGACTGCAAACACTTCACTTTAACATTCAAGGAATTATCATTTTTAGGTCACCTTAGTAAACTCAGGTGACCTATTGCTATCCGTTTTCGTCCGTCGTCGACTCGTCGTGCATCGTTCGTCGTGTGTTAACATTTGAACATTTTCAGCTTCTTCTTTGCAACCACTGAACCAATTTCAACCAAATTTGGCACAAAGCATCTATGGGTGAGAGGGAACAAAAATTGTGAATTTCATGATCCCTTCCCCCCTGGGGCCTGAGGGGTGGGGCCAAAACCACTAAAATTAATGCAATTTTTAAAAATCTTCTTCTTTACTCCTGGACAACAAGCAGTCAAACTGTTTTTATGATTGTAATCAGTAATGAGTCCTCTACCAAAATTGTGAAATTCATGGCCCTGGGGTCAGGGGTTCTAGTGCTAGGGTGGGGCTAAATAAGTAGGTAGTGAAAATGCATTATTTCTTTGAAAATCTTCTTCTCTGCTCCTGGGTATTAAATAAACCAACTAAGTACATAGTTATGATGAGCAAGAGTGCCTCTACCAAAATTGTGAATTTTATGGCCCCAGGGTTGGTGTTAGGGCGGGGCTCTATTGATTTATATATAGTGAAAATACATGAATTCTTTGAAAATCTTCTTCTCTGCTCCTGGGTATTAAATAAACAAACTAAGTACATAGTTATGATAAGCAAGAGTGCCTCTACCAAAATTTTGAATTTTATGGCCCCAGGGTCAGGGGTTCTTGTTTTAGGGTGGGGCTCTAATGATTATATAGTGAAATGCATGAATTGTTTGAACATCTTATCCTTTGCCCCTGGTTAATATGCTAATGATCTAATTACATATTTAAGGCCAGGATTTATTTTATTTTTAGTTTTACAAACCCTCCGCTCAAGGTTTTGAATTTTCAGAAAAAAATAAAACATTTTTTTTTCTTTCCGATGTCAAATTTGAATCGGGATCGAGATTTCAAATTTACGAACTGGCACTTCCAGTTTTACGATGAAACGGTGGGTAAATAAAGCTAGATCTGAGAAGATAGCTTGGTTTAGTGTAAAATTCATCGATAAGAGTGCCATTCAAAACATTTCACCCGTTCAAAGGACAAATAAAATGCTGACGACTTTGTTGCACAATGACATGCTGGTGAGATAATTATGTATTCGTTTCAAAAGTAACTGTAAATTATTTTCCTCCCCCAGGTCTTTAACTGCCCGTGGTAGCTATTGCATATTGCCAGGGACATTGTTTAGGTCTCTGTTATAGCTTACAGTCTAAGCATCATTCTTCAGCATGTTCAGAAAAGGGTTGCTTATGCATCAGATGTAATGAATAAAACTATGGGAGAAGTGCAGTCAATTTGAGGAAGAAATAAACAATAAACTGAAGAAAGAAAAAAAAAAATCAACTATTAAAAGGCAAGAATATATACAAATATATACCATGTAGTATCATTTGTATTAGCCAGAAAAATTATTTTACACTCAGTTGAAAAAATGTTGACCCTACTCCCCAATACTCCCTGTCTGTTTTATGATAGGAATTATAATTTTAGGCATCAAGTAAATTTTAGAACAATGTCTACACATTCACATAACACATATTAAAAAAAATGAAGATATATTGAAAGACTTTTAAAGAATTGATTTTTAAAAATATATTTTGATCAACATCACAAATTTATATAACTGGCCCAAACTGGCAGATGATGAAATAAGCAATTAAATGTTCTACTTTCCTATTTGTAAGCATTATGTGTCCAGTGGTAAGGAGCCTATTAGGATAGCATAAAAAAAGAATACAAGTGTTAATAATTGATTTATCAAAAAAAAAATTTTATTTCCTTCTCCTTCGGGACTTTTTTATTCTCATGTTCATAACTAAACCTAAACATAAAAAATGCTGGCCTTATAATGAAGAAAGGGGCCTCTTTCAAAATAGATAATTTCAGGGCTGCTGGGTCAGGGGTACCAGGGGGGTACTTTGACTAAAAATAAATTAATGCTTTGAAATCTGCCCTTTGATAAGCAATGGTGCCTCTTTCAAAATTTGTGAATTTCATGGCTTTTGGATTAAAACACGAACCAAATACAATCGCTGGAAAGTTGTTACATGATACTCAGGTGACCTATAAGGCCCGTGGGCCTCTTGTTAAAAAAAGTCCCTGATGTCATGAATGAAAAAAATAGTCATTTTCTTTCTCAAGAAGTTATTCTTCAGACCATTTCCCCTCCATTCTTTAATCACACACAGAGTTCTTGAAATCTTTTTTTTCACTGTCAATCATGTGGAATGACTGCCATGTGAAGTTTGTCAATCCAAACAGATTTCTATCAGTCCAAAGAAAATTCAATAAAAAGATGAAAACTTTATTTAAATTTTATTATCACTATATTGTGCACCTTTTGTCAATAAACACTGCACATTTCATTCTGATTTGATCGTCGATTTTCTTTGAATTATCTCGGAGGTCGTTTTCTTCATATGTTTTTAATCTAGTTTGATTTTCTCACTTGGCTTACCGTAGCACCGTCAACAAACCTGTTTTAACAGTTTACCAATCATAGTTTGACACTTGTGATCATCGAAGAAGCCATTACAAGATGCAGAAAAGCGTTTGAAAGATTACGATCGGGCGGATATTGGGAATTCTTACGAAATTTAGTTGGATTTTCACAAGTTCCTTTGTCAACACTTACCAGTCATTTGGACTGACACAGAACACAAAGTAATTGGTCCTTGGTTGTTTTTATTGGTCTTTGTTATGCTCTGAAATTCTGATAATCACCTGACAGGGACTATTCGAATTTTGAAGATTAACAAAGATCTGATTTTAATAAGATTGTTTTTCACATGTACCAATACTATTTTATTTTTTAGTTGTTATTAATGACACTAAAAGTAATACTCTATTTCAGTATATCGAGTACATTGCTGCTCTGCTGTCCATATGCTGTATGATATTTTTGGGATTTGCTGATGATGTTTTAGAGCTAAAATGGCGACACAAACTGTTTTTGCCAACCATGGCTTCTCTTCCATTGCTGATGGTTTACTTCGTGAACTTCGATTCAACAGTGATTATCATACCTAAACCTTTACGCTTTTATTTTGGTCATGATATTGATTTAGGTAAGAAAATTAATAGATAAAAAAGTTATTCCTAATGAAAATCTTCATTGCAAGAGTAAAAAATGTTGATCATATGCTTTCAAATACATATACTTGTATCTGTTTCATGATTTAATATTAAATGATTATCAACCTATGATATTTTTGCTAATTTATTGATATGAGATGTTGAATTTTTCAGGAATTTTATATTATGTGTACATGGGAATGTTGGCTGTCTTTTGCACTAATGCAATAAACATCTTGTCTGGAGTAAATGGTTTGGAAACTGGACAATCTCTTATCATAGCTGTTTCAGTACTTATTTTCAACTTCTTAGAGCTGAATGGTAAAATTATCCTGCAAGTTTATTACTTAAAGTGTAAATAATCATTGTATATGTATACACAAAATCTATGTGATACTATACAAAACTGTATTAAATATTACTTGAAGGGTTTGTAAATATTTATTTCAGGATGTTGTAGAGAGGCACATATTTTCAGCATATATTTTATTCTACCATACACAGCTGTTTGTCTAGCCATTTTCATACATAACTGGTAAATATACCCTCAGTTTCATGTTTCTTATTTTTATCATCTTGCTCTTTGCTGTTTTTACCTTGTAACTTTAAGCTATTTGTGTTTTTTATAATTTTTTTCAGGTACCCAGCAGATGTATTTGTGGGAGACACTTTCTGCTATTTCTCAGGAATGACTTTTGCAGTAGTGGCAATTTTAGGACATTTTAGCAAGACAATGTTATTGTTCTTTATACCTCAGGTCTTCAATTTTATATACTCAGTACCACAGCTTTTTAGAATGGTTCCATGTCCAAGACACAGACTACCTAAGTAAGCAATATTTTTATATTTCATAACGTTTTAATGTAGTTTGTGTAAAATACTTAAGTAACAGATATTCATGTATCCTAGAAAAGAAAATTTCAGCAAGCCTTCTTCAAGCATAAAAATCATGTGTTTGAATGGTTTCAAGAGACAATATGTCTATATGACTGAAACATTACCCCTATTGATTTTGATGCAAAAAGGTAGAAGTCATTAACTTGTATACATGCATGTACCCATTATAGTTAATTGTTTTCCAGATGATATTTCAAATTAACTTAATTATGTACTTTACATGACTTTCTTAAATGTATTTTAACAATATCTCATTTTATTGTATATTTAGTTATTTTAAAAATTGTATATATGCTTTTGATTATCATGTGTTTGTGAACTCGGATGATTTTTTTTTGTAGATATGATCCAGTAAGTGACACAGTAGGCATGAGTAAAACCACCTTTAAATATGACAAACTAAATATCCTGGGGAAATTGTCTGTGACTTTATTTAGGATGTTGTTTCTCCTGGAAGTGAAGGACGGTGTAGGGGAGGATAAACAGTATATAGAGTGTAATAACATGACTCTAATTAACCTGGTGCTGAAGTTCTGTGGACCCTTACATGAAAAGACACTAGTTACCATTCTGTTAACAATGCAGGTAAGTAATATAAGTACAGATTTTAAATTGATGAACCATCTGATCAGTTATATAAAAGTTTGAATTAATGCAATGATTGTTCAAAAGAAGAGTAAATTGTAATTAAATTTCACATAAGTTCAATATACCTTGCAGGGCAAAATTTGATAGATATAGGATCAGCTTTTTAATCTTTTTTTTTTTTTTCAAAAGAATAATATGGGTAGCCATTTATGCCTGCAAGAGTTATCTGACTTATCCTTCTTATTGGGGAATCATTACACCTTATACATGGCAAGGAAAATGTTTGAATTAGGAATTTTTGATATTTGAATTCCCCCCCCCCCCCCCATCTACTTGCAAGAATGATGAAATTGTAAAAGAATTAATGGATATATACACATGTACATGTTTTGGCATATCCTTGATACTTCTTTAAAAGGGGGGGGAAGTTTTATGTAAGATGAAGGCTCTGAAAAAAATTAAGTTATTAAAGGGAAAGATTACTAAGAGTTGTTTTTCTTGCAGAATTTATAAGATTGCAAAGTCGATTTTGGGCCTTTTTGTAAACACAAAGTCTGATTAAATATTTCCTATGGTATAAGTAACTACATGTATTTTTAAAATGTTTTTTATAGTACAAACTATTTCGAATATAAAATGGCAGCATTTCAAGGCTATTCTTTATTTTTCAGGTCTTCTGCAGTGTTCTTGCTTTTGGAATAAGGTATCAACTCTCCAAAGTATTTTATGACTAGTGAATTCCAAAAAGTGATCATTTGAAAGCCATTGTACATTGCTGACTGCAAAATATTAAAAATATCTTTGCCAAAGGCTGCCAATACTTGTAGGTACTAATCAAAAATAAATTTATTCTGTTTGAGCCATAGGCTTTCATTTAATAGCTGCATTTAAATCATGAGTCTCAAACTTTAGGATCGTGATTTAAGGTTATACAATTGTTGTTATGTTTTGATGTAACTAAACTAATATTGATAAATTACTTATTATGTATGATAAATTAATTTTTATACGAGAGAACTTCATTTATTCCGAACAGCATGAGACATACTGTCTGCTCACAAAATTATATTTTTTTTATGTTTGCATTCTTCAAAATTACATACAAAAAAAATATTAAAATTTGTGCAAAATTTGTCTCAAAAAGATGAAAACACTATTTTGTGAAATCAGGTGCAACAAAATTTAGATTTGCACAGAGATTGACAAGTACTTCATGTACATATGGTAGATTTTGAAAAATCAGTACCAGAGTACCAGTGAATTATTTTTCTATTGTAAAGTCAAGTTAAAAGTATATGATTAGGAAAACATTATGAAAAGTTAAGTATAAGTACTGATATTGTTAAAACTGCCTATCATTTACTCTATACATTGTTGCATATTAAACATTTTCCTAATTGTGTTCTTAAAGTAGAAACATTTGAATCGGAATATTAATAGAAATATGACACCATAAATGTACTAGTAGCCTAGTGCTATAAATAAAGTGTGTTTTTGGTGGAATATAATAATAATACATTCCATATCTGATATTGTGACATTGTGCATATTTTTTTTATTTAAAGTTTGTTTAATGATAGGCGAAGGGGTAAAATCAGAAAATAAAATCTGTTGAGATTGGAAAAACCCAGAAGAACCTCATATCAAGTTAATATGCAATGATTCTGGATTGATAAATCCAGCCTGCATGCATTGAATATTAACTTTATTTATTCTGGGTTTCAATACATGTATATTAAATCTTAATCCAATTCACTGATCATTGAGTAGTTGCCATTATAATTTCTTTTTTTCTCCTTTAGTTGTACCTTTTCTTTGAATTTAATATATTCATTTCATATTAAAAATCCTACCATATACTTACATGTACATCTTACAATGCTTACATTAAATATTTAAACAAGATAAATTGTACACTCACATCCCTTTTTTCCATACTGAGTATTCTTTGAAATGTAAAGGTACATGAGATTGACCCTCTGTTACACTAAATTTCTCTCTCCTCCCTCTCTACATCAAGAAATTTTTAAAAATGTAAATACTTGTATGGATTTATGTAGTAATTTTTTACACACATGCAGATTAATAGCAATTAACTCCTAGGAAATATGTTCATAAACAAATGTTCATAAACAACAAAATAGTAATTAACAGTTATTGCTCTTGCTTCATTAAAATAAGATAGAAAATATTTAATCTTAGCATAAATGCTAGAATATATTATATATACACATTGATATAATGATTAACTTGATATATGTGGCCACTTTACAGCTAATTACTGTTTCCAATTATCTGTAAATAGCATATATGACCTTGTGTTATTATGTACTTTGTACATGTATTGGTACACTGGCCAGAACTAAACACTATTTGTAGATACATGTTGGAATACTGGAGTCTGATAATCATTACAACATTGAGTTGTTGTGTATAATAAATATTGAGATAAATATGTACAATAAATAACTAATTAAAAGTATTTCACATGTAAATTTTAAAATCTATAAGATACGGAATTAAAAAGATTTTATATACTTTGAGAAAAATATGTTTAGTAATATATATGTATTAAGATGATTTAATTTTTGTGGCTACTTTAATTGATTTTTTTTTTGTTAGCTTGATTCTATTAGATAGCTATTTCATGATTTATATTATATGGTTTTCTAGTCAGACAGATGCTAATAAAATGTGTAATAAACTTGGCATTATAAGGATAAAATTTTGTAGATTGACAGTCGATCCTTTTAACTCACTTGAGCCTTTCTGATCAAAATTTAACTGCTGTCTTTCATTGGCACTCACTTCTTGATTGAGAGACCTGGGTTCAATTCATGTTTGCCATACCTTAATCGTTGAACCTTAGACCTCTTTAAACTTGAGAAAGGAATTATTTTATTAAGGGAATAGTACCTGTGAAAGATTTCATGTTTTCCCACCCAAATCCAGTGGAAATACATGGTATTATACTAATGTATATGTACTGGGTATATTATATATTCTCAGGATTGGATAGCACTTTTATATCCACAAGGGTTTACCTTTGTTGAACTCTTCAGTGCTGAGGAAATTCACAAAATCAAAACCTTGAATTGAATAAAAATTTTCAGTTATTTTACCATACTAACAGTGGTAGGATAAGTATAAACAGAATGTAATTTATTTTCTTGAAATGTAGCACCAATGAGCAATCAAAGTTGTTTATTGGAATACATAAAGGAAAAAAATTTAACAATCTTCTTCTGAAAAATATATAGCAAAGCCATGACTGCTAATAATTACTGGGTATATTGAAGCATCCATAGTCAGTGTAAATTCAAGTTTGTTCCAATCATTATCCCTAGAAGTAGGTTTGGACCACAAGTTTTACTTGAAAATAATCTTCTGATGTAATAATGTATTAATAATTGATATTATTTCCTTATTCATAAAACAATTGTCTTTGTTTTACATGTATATATTATTGTAAAATATATGGCTATTGAGATATTACGAAAAAGAATCCCTTGACATATTGTAAATAAAATATGTTCAAAACAAGAAAGAAGGGCCATGGTTTCTTAGGTAAGCAATATGGCCCCTGGACCACTTGTTTGCGACCCGAGTCAAAGACAGCTTATCTTATGGATATTGGTCCATTGTTGTCATCATGATCATTGTTGTTGCTGCCATTGTCTTTATCAAACTTGGCACCGAGTATTCTTGAGTAAGGTCAAGCACTTTTCCAAAGAAGAAAGGGCAAAAATAGAGAAGGGTCATTTAAAGAACGTCTCAATATTCCACAGACCAGAAAAAATGAAACTGTGATGAACTCTTCGTTAAAGGAGGTTTTATGAAGTTGTTCTTTTAGCTTCTACGATTATTCCAGCATGGTTGGATTTTCTGCATGCCTATAATATATTTGATGGTTTTGCTGATATTGTCTTTCCAAGATAGCATAACGAAATGGTATTCCTTTGTTAGAGAATGTATACACTTGTAAATATCTAACTATCTCCAACGCTTGTGTTTCGCCCGAGATTTTAATAATTGCCTGACCAATCAAGGCGTTAGAAGCAATTTGAATTTAGTATGCATATTTTTGCAAAAAGCGGGAACTGCTCTTAATTTTTGATGCGCCAATTTAAGTAAAAGTACAGCATGTACATGTATATCTTTGCAAAAAAGGGGAAGGGGTTCCCCTTTGAGCTCCATCGGTTCCCATGTCTTTGCCAATTACAGAAACTTAAGATCTCTTCGATTCATTATTTCTTTTTTTCAAGAAAAATTGTTATTGATAAAATTTTGACCAAAAAAAAACTGTGTAAAGAAACGGTACGCTGTTGCATACTTCTTGGGTGTACGATATATGGGTAGATGAAATTGAAGTTTATAAAGTTCATATCTGGAAATATTTCATGAAATCGGTATCTTTTGACGACAACTTCTGTATTTACCCCCACCGCTTTTTCCCTGTGTTCTAAAAAAAATACCTACAAAGATCCATGCATGGATAGGACACGAACAATGTTGTTCGATAGTTTGAAAGAGAGCCAGTGATTTGCAGGAACCACCACTGTACAGTGATGAGCATGAAAGCCGTATACGCTGTACACATTAACAAGATTGTTCACGGTAAAAATAGTAACCAAAACGTTTACACGGTAGAAAACAAAAATAGGGTAGTGCTGCTATCATGCAAGAAAACCAATTCATTAGCCAATCATTTTGTTGCATGTTATCAGATAGATCAGCATTTGCTTATGAACGGTACGGATTCTGAAGTTCGAATTGCTTAAAAAGCTCTTAAAAGTTCTTTAAAACAGGACAACTACCCTTGACTTGTAGACAAGTAGCAATGTATACTTAGTGCCTGATAGACATGCGCCAATTATTTTCTCTCCTACAACACATAATTATTTGTTTAGACACATTGCTTTTAACAGTATCCATCATTCTATCAGTCTATCTACATTCGTGCTTGAGCTAACTTTAATTGTAACCTTTGGATAGAAATATGAATCATGAACCTAATATTGTATATGCCTTTCTAATGAAATATATAGTGTATTAAATATAGTTACGGAATGGGTATGTGGGAGAAAGCTATTTCTCAAGGCATCCCACGTTATCTGAGAATATGTGAAATTGTCATTTAGAAGTCTCCCCTCCTTTTGCTGTTATGGTTTTTCTGCTGTCGAACATGTAAATAGCATTTAAACAATTACTCAAAAGTTGAGCGAGAGAAAATTCCTATTTCTCTCTTCCAATTTGAATTTAAATCAATGGTATATTGACTGTGTTGATTTATTGTAATATCTGATTCCTGTTCTGTCAATAGTCTTGTTTAAATTAATCAAGCATGCTTTTAGGGGTTGAAAGACTTTTCCATGCAAATATTGGGAACACCAATGGTATAATTTTTTGAAATTATGAACATTGTTTTACCAGAGCCTCTTTAGAAATGTATCCATTTTACGCTACATATTGACAGTGTGGCTTCAGAGAAATAAATTTGCAAAAAAATTATAAAGTGGTATAATTTCCTTCTTATTCTAAGTGATCCGGAAGATCTAGGTCTCTTCGTTTAAGTTTCAGATGTAACGGAGAAATGTTTCAGCAAACTGAAAAGGACTTTCTCAACAAGCTAAAACTTCTGTAGGAATATCTGTAATGGCTTTTGGCTTTTCCCCTCTCTGCTGAGTATAGGCAATGCATTGCATCTATAAAGTTGACAAACATTTTATGTGGTGTTCATACGCAATTTATGTAATATATTTTCCAACATTACACGAAAAGTATATGAAACTACTAGTACTGTCTTCAGAATGCATTAAGGATTCTGTCATGTTGTAAATTTTGAATTTACCGGGTGGCAGTTTACAACATGACAATTCCATACATATATATATGTCTCTTCTTCTCATAATTGTATGATTAACAACGTTGAATCTTCCAAAAAAGAAAGTTTTTCTCCGTAACTCAAAGTAGCTTTGAACATATCGCTTAAGGTTACAAATATTCACAGCCTCAGCAACATTGATTTTATGATCTGAAGTGGTCAAAGGTCAAATGCAGGGTCAGTTACCTCGATGTACGGAGTGTTTTTATACTTTAAAACTACGTACAGTTAATATCAAATTCCTAGCTCTTACAATGTTCATGATAAATGCCTTAACAGAAAAGCAAACAATTATCCCTAAGTTTTCATTTTTTTAAGCAGATTTTATTAGATTTTAACAAATGCATATGTACTTGTACATTTTTATGAAATTTTTTTGAAATGAAATATTTATCCGTCCGTCATAGAAATTTTTCAAACAAATAATAATAATAATATTGAAAAATATTCTGCAAAATATGCAAGTTGATACTTTTTTTTCCGACCACAGTTATTATCAGATATTCCATCAACAAATAATAACCGGCCCCATGAAAACCCTGCAGCGTTCACTTCTTTTCTTAGAGTACGGCTGTCAAGGCCGCTGGAGCAGAGCGCTGTTAAACATCTTCAGCTAATTACCTGCAGCATGAGTGTTTCTGGTTGTTGATGTACATCTTCCTCATACTCACCACTATATGTCATTCTCGCAGGAAAAACAGACAGGGAAATGTGGGCTGTGAAAAAAAGTCGAATTTGTCGTTATTATTTAGACGCATGTTTCCAGTTTCTTGTTCCCATAAGCGACGTTTGAGAACTGTAATCACCGTGTCTGTCTGTCAATCTGTTCAACTTTCTTTTCTGTCTGAGAATTTATAGTGCAAGTCACTATTTTAGAAACATGTACAATTTTTATGTCCCCTGAGTAATTCATGTGACCTATTTCTGACTGTTTTCGTCCGCCGTCGTGCGTCGTCCTTCGTACGTTAACTTTTGAACATTTTTAACTTCTTTTCTGAAAACCGCTCAATCAATTTCAACCAATTTTTATATAACATCTATGGGTGACGGAGATATAAATTGTAAATTTCATTGTCTCTTGCTCATGGAGCCCGAGGGACGGGACTAAAACCAATAAAATTAATGCAATCTTTGAAAATCTTCTTCACAAAGCAGTCAAATTGTTGGCATGATTTTAATAAGCATTGAGCAAATCTATCTTAACTGTGAAATTCAAGGCCCCAGGGTCAGGGGATCTCGTGCTAGGATGGGGCTAATCTTCTCCGTTCCTGGGTTTTAAATAAACGAACAAAGTGCATCATGGCCCGTTGGATTAGTTGTTCTGGTGTTAGGGCGGGGCTCAATTGATTATATAGTGAAAGTACATTAAATCTTTGAAAGTTTTCTTCTCTGCTCCTGGGTATTTAATAATTAAACTAAGTAAGATGATGAGCATGACTGCCTTAATTTCATTGCCCCAGGTTCAGGAATTCTGGTATTAGGACAGGGCTGTATTGATCATAGAGAGAAAATGCATTATTTCTTTCAAAAATCTTCTCTCCTCCTTTTAAAACAAAGGAAATGCATGATTATGATGAGCAAGAATGCCTCTTTTAAAGTTTTGAAATTCATAGCCCCAAGTTCTGGGTTCTGGTGAAGGGGGAGGGGGCTACACCTTTTTCTAGGGGAGATAATTAGGAATTAGTGAAATAATAATGGCATATTTTAAAAATCTTCTT